CACACACACACACACACACACATATGCACTCTCTCTCTCTCTCTCTCGCGCACGCGCGCGCAGCTCCCGCGGCCCCGTTGCAGCTCCACCCCACGCGCAGCTCCCGCACGGCGCACACACACACACACACACACACACACGTGCATGCACACACACACACACACACCCGGGCACGCGCGCACATACACACACACACACACACACACACATATGCACTTTTTTTTTCTCTCTCTCTCACACACACACACACACACACACACACACACACACATGCACAAACAATCAATCAATTAATCAATCAATCAATCAAATCCTTTTTTTGTTTATTTGTTTTGAAATTTTGCATCTGCTTTTTATTTTTGAACACCTCATTTCCCTTCAAAAAAACAGATTCATTAAAAAAAAAAACACAGGTCGACTCGGGGACCATATATCTCATGATAAAAAATGGCAAAAGAAAATTCTTGCTTTTCTTTATATATATATATATTTTAATTTTGTTTAAATTGATTTCAGTTTTTGATTTTTTTTAAATCCTAAACAAAGTCGGATTCCAAAGAAAAATATAGGGGTGTAGGGTTTTCGAAGCCCTACACCCCCTTTTTTTTTTTTTTTTTTTTTTTACGTATTTTTAGGGGTGAAAAAAAAATTAAAAAAACAGGCCGCGGACTGGGCCTCATAGGCCGCGGCCGCGGCCGAGAATCTCGGCCGCAGCGGCCGAAATGCCCGCAGCCTAGGCCGCGGGTGTCGCATAGTTTGTGAGGAATCAAAGCTTCTGACTGGGTCTTCTCATTTTTTCTACATGTCCCTTTCTGACTTTCTTACGTCAGTCTCGAACTATTGCTTTCTGCGGTAAGGTAGCGGTAAGGTAGAATCTAGGTCGTTAGTTTTTTTGGCCTTGACTTGGTAGGCCTGATAAGTTTTTTTGGAAGATCGGAGCCATGGTCTTCTGGTTTCTAAGCATGGTTCTGGACTATTTGGGACTGTAACATTTTGGTGCATGGTAGCGGAGCTGGGACTCCGACGTGGTCCATTTCTCGTCTGGGTCTAAGTTTACGTCCTATATTACTTCGGTTGACACATCAGTCGTTCATTGTGACGTAGACCCCTGATGAGTTCCGATCCTCGTGATTGGACGAAACTAGTTGGGTCATCCGCCAGTGAGCTTGATGTGGATGATGACTACAAGGCACGACGTCTGTTTCTGGTCCAGGCTCCATAGCCTCGTGCTTGACTTTTATTTCAAAGGCTTTCAAGTCACGTTTGGGATGCTAAAGCATGACTACTCTCACTCCTCTTTGTGCACTCTTTAATCTTGCCTTCTCTATGTCTATGGATTCTGATGTGTCACTCACTACTCTCACTCCTCTTTTCGGACCCTCCACCATCTAATTTTCATGACGCTAGTTCTTTTGGTACAAGTTACGAACCACATGCAAGATCGGGTGGATGGTGGAAAGCGAATCAGGAACGTCTCGACACCGTGTGCAATAAGTATGTTGAAGATCGTTAGAAGAAGGCGTGTTGTCGAGCATATCGGTCCCACAAGAGGACCCTCCTGACCTCGTCCCGCAGGATTTCGCATGACTTCGTTGCAGAGCGTTGCAGCTCCGGTCGGGGAACACACCATCCCTTAGGTGGGCGTATCCCCGCCGAGCTACCGAACCACGTGCGAAAGTTTTTCGTATGCAATCGCAGAGGTGACCCGACCGAGGGCATTTCTTGTTCGATGTAGCATAGGGGGTGCGCGCGGTTACGTACGAATCGCACCCGTCCGCGAATCGTCACCCGAGACATTGATCTCCCGATTGCAATCCTACGTCGGTCGATTACGACGGTCAGTCTAACCATGTGACATACTTCTTAAAACAAAATCAAGCTTCATACTTAAATCGCGCCTAGTCACTTGTTCACTTTCAACCCATAACCTTTTCGATGACCGAAATGAGTGACTGCCGAGCGCAAG